TTTTTCTGGACTGAATAAAACGTGCATTGAATTTAAGGAAATGCAAAGTGAGACGTCATTTATATTTGACCCATCAAAATGAATGCGGTCATTTATTTACAGAATCAAATTTAACATCAAACATTTACATTAATTTGGCAAATTATGAAAATAACAATATAAGCAATCAATCAGGAAAAATCATACGGCCATGATTTTTCCGTTGCTGCACCACAGACATTTATAAACTGTACAACTATGATCTTTTACCCACACGGATGTGAATAAGCACTTTACACAGACATTTCTAAATATCTGGGAGAATTTCTACTTGATAGAAAGTTAAAGATGAAAGAAGTTAAAGGGAGTAAGATTGAATGGGAGGGGAGGAATGTTCACCAGAACCGACACTCTCCATCAGAAGCCCAGCTCTCCTTCGGTACGCTTGGTAGGAAACTTGATCCATTACCTTTCTGAAGATTCATCAGCAGATATGGAGTTCCGTTAACGCTACCTGTCCAGCGTCTCCTGATGGTGGCTGTAGCTCGTCAGAAGTAGTGGCTAGTGAAAGTTATAATCCCATGGAACTCGGAAGAGCTTTTTGTCATGTCAAGATCATCCCGTCTCCGACAGAACTCGAACAGAACCAGCAGAAAACTCTCCAGCACTCTCGAACTCTCCAAGAACTCTAGAAGTCTGACAACTCTCCAACTCCGTGTAGACCAGGAAGTACTGACATTTTAAAGACTCTTTCCCGGTTCACTTTTTGGGATTTTTCATTGGTCAGAAACGACCAGACGGGGTGGGTTTTGTGACGTAAGAGGTTAGAGACAGCGAGAATTGTTATGAGACAGATCAGAAATGTTCTCACAGACCGAGAGGGTTTTGTTTTGGCGTGTTTCAGGAAACAGGTGCAAAACATCTCTACTTACGTCTGAGAGGATTCTAAAACATGACAGTTTTAACATAACAACTTGTTTTTCGTTTGACTGTAACCTTGTAAACGCACACACTTGCTCATTCAAAAGCAGAAATCAGAAAAATGCATAATTACTCTGTAACAGCTTTTAACATGAGTTCTAACTGCATGAGAATAAAAATCATTACTCAGTTAATAAAATTGATTAGTTCACTGCAACATCTAAAATGGTTTGAACTAAGACACTTTGATTATCAACATTTGTA